CAGCTGACCTGCCACAGTAACATCCTTCCTGCCACTCCAGCTGCTTGAAAAGAAACAAAAAGCTGCAGGCACCTCCCTCCTCAGATGAATCCCGGTGTTAAATGTAATACTTTCACCGGCTCTTTCATGGTTTAAGAACTGTCTGTGTAGCCCTTCCAGGAAAGTGTGGATGTGTCAGGTGGGCATGGCTGCAAATGGTCACTGCCTGTTCCTGCAATGAGCATTCTGCCTGACAGGAATTCTGATGCCTGTGATGCAGAGAACTGCCCAGGATGGCATGTACCCACACAGGGTATTTTGTCTGCTGTCTCTACACTTATTTCTTGCTACTTAGTACAACGGGACACAAACTGCAAAGTGTCTGGGACCTGTAAAAAACCTTAAATGGACAATGCCAGCTTTCACCAAGCCCCCGCTGTTTTGTTCTTAATTTTTCCCTCCAAACACTCTCATTTTGAGGTTACTTACGGTTTTCTCAGAAAATTCCCTGAAGGTTGATGGGGGATTTTGGTCACCTCAGAGCAGACGCTGCAGCAGGGAAGAAATCTTCAAGAATTGTTGTGGAATTTTCGGTTCTTTATTCGCGTTACAGAGGGATTTCCCCTTCTTTCCACTCCTGTGGAACAAGAAGTAACTTTTAGCTTGCTGTGTTTGTGGGACCTTTAAGAATTCCTAGCAATACTTAAAAAGGCTCAGCCCCTCAGTGCCTTTACTCTTCCCTTTCTTTCCCCATCTATTCCTATAGCCTTGCTTTGAGAGGGAGCAAACACAGGACAAGGAAGGTGACTCTCCTCGTCATCAGCTTGCAGTTTTCGCTAGACACTGTCCTGTCGAGTCAGCTTATGATCAGAAAATTCAGGCTTTGACTGTGCTTTCATAACCCTGCTGTGGATCCCAAGCATCCACATTTGGTCTGTGTTTTTCCCCTTTTCTGATGTCTCATCAGGCAAAGGCCTATCAACACAGCAGGAAGCAAAACCAGCAGCAGCAGCGTCACCTCCTTTCTGGAGAGGAGAGGAAGAGAAAACCACCGTGTCTTGCAGCAGCTAAGAAGGACAGGGTGCTGGTAATTTATTCCCCAAACAGTCCCTGGCTCCCTGAGGGCAGGGCTGACCAGAAATCTTTGGACCAACTCAGCCAAGGTAAGTGGGGCTGTGCAGTTACACCTTCCTGCCCTCTGCAGGTTTAAGGCATCGCTCGGTGTTCGAGTGGTTCTTTTTTCAGATTTTATTTTGCAACAACAGGCACAGGAAGTGATGCCAGGGGCAAAACGAGTTCCCTGAGAAGATGAAGTAACCCTGTGATTTGCAGATCTGGGGGCTGGGCACAGATCACTGAACGTTTCCATGTCTTCTGTGTCGAGTCTTCGTGGAACCAAAGGAGGTGCAAGAGAAAGGAGCTGGGGATGCTTCACCTGTACAAGAACAAACACTGCTCTTCAAACAACAAGGGTAATCTCTAAATCCCTTTCCTCAGAAGGAGTAGGCTACACACTGTATTAAACACTGACAGTTCTGTTCTAGAGAATGAGATGGGAAAGAGAAGTCCTGTTCTCTGTGCGTTTTTTCAAATTATAAAAAGGATAATTTTTTTAGTTCCAAAATACTCCCAAATATACATTCTTATAATAGTTAAAACCATTAAAATTTAATTTAATAATAATGTTTCTTCTCTGTTTCTGGGTCAGTCGTCAGCTTCCTCAGCTGGTGCTGAATTGGAGTAACAAAGTTCTGGGATTAACCACCACAAATGTAGTCATTACACTTGCTTTTAGGTGCCTTCCCAGGTAAAAAGTGCTACAACAGTGCAGCCAAATATATCACAAACTACAGGTTATAGTGGTGTTGCCCCACCACCCAAATTAGAGCTGTGACTTGTAAGTATTTCCTAGATCAGTGCTCCTGAGGACTCCTGACAGCCATGCCAAAAAATGGAAACCTTCCCTATTCGGCTTGGGATCAGAGGAACAACTCAAAAGACAAACATTTCAATGCATTCCGAGGGTTGTCCGTCAAGGAAGGGATCAGCCATCAAAGGCTGACACCTTCCTGTCCAGGGGTGAGTTGTCTCACCTCTCTGAGGTGGCTGCAGTCCAGTTCCTTCTGGCTCTGATGCCTCTGCAAACGTCAGCCCTGGCAGCGACTCGCCCTGGTCCAAGTCCGTGTGTCCCTGAAAATGAGGTAAATGCTCTTACACTTGGTGGGACAGAGTGGAAATCACAGACACTTTGGGGCTTCTTCACAGGGTTTCAGGCCTCATAGTCCTGAAAAAAAAAACCCCAAACAAACCAAACCAAAACCGAAAATAAAACTCCTCAGACTGTTTCTGGAGAGCTTTTCTGAAATTTTATCTTGTGCTGATGTTTCCGGTTCAAACAAGGAACCGTAAATCATCTGAGACCAAACAGATGACGAGGCATTTCATAAAGACATTGTGCAGTATTTATCTCAAACAGCTTCTGCAGGAACGGTGCTCGACAGCCGTGCAGGCCAACTGGAGGATGAGGATGGGGGAGCAAAACCACCTGAAACTCTTTAATCCCATTTTTAACGTTGTGGAATCTCAGTACAAAGCGTTTTCTCCGGGAGCCAGCTGGTGTTAGGAACACGTGACTACTACGTGGGCTATCAACCTCTTCCAGCCAGTCTCTAATTCCTAGAAATTGCTTTATGCCCAAGTCATTACTGCCTAATTAGAGCCCACAAGGGAAGTTCCATGGCACTGTGGGCACAATTGCATGTTTGGAGACTCCTGCCAGACACAGGGACTGTAAGTGCTTGGTTGGTCAGGCTCGTACAAAAATGCTTTTGTAGCTGCCTTCAAGGGCTGGGAGTTTATTGGCAGTTATTTCACCCATGGATCACCAGGTTCTTATTCAGAACCAAGACTGCGGAGTTTTCCTTTGCCCTTCCTTATTTCTTTTGTTTTGAGTTCACTCAAAAGGTCTGGTTTTGGAGGGGGGGGGAAAGACCTGGTTATGGCTGAAAAAGTCTTAATTGTGAGAATCAAAACAGTCATGTAACTATGAAACATTGTTTTTAAAAAAAATCCTTGGAATACAAATGACATCCTAATATTTCAAGGTCCAGTCTTGGACCATTAGGACAAATATTATATCCAGTATTTGGGTTAAGAAAAAAACTAATCTGTTTAGGTGTTGCTTGATGTTTTTCAAAAGGACTTAGTTTCAGTCATTTTTATTGCAATGTTTTGTGGGTTTGGTTTTTTTTTGTTTGTTTGTTTGTTTTTTATTGTATGTGCAAAACTAAAGGTATTGGGAAAAAATGCTGCTGCAGTTTAATTTATACTACACAGAACCGAAGCTGGATTTAGTTGGAGATTTTTTGAGATGCTTTGTCAATAAACTATATAATGTATTAAGCAGATATGGCCCTGTGTGTTAATGCAGGATTGGAGATTGGAAGCACAAGTGGCAAGAAGTGGCTCAGGGGAGGGACAATGGCTCAGGCCAGCAAACTGCTTGTCATCCTCTGCTTCCCTGAGAAACCCATCCAGAAAGCTGGATTTTGCATTAATGTGAGTGTCTGGATTTCACCTCCTGAGGGGGAAACCTGTCCTGCTTCTGGATTCCACCCGCCGAGGGGAAAACCTGCCGAGTTTTTCCCCTCACAGACACCTTTACTCGCAAAAAGGAGAATGGAAGAGCATCTCCCTCCTGCACCAAGTTTTCCACCTCACAGGTACTTTTATTCCCTTAAGGGGAGTGGAAAAGCACCTCCTTCCTCATGCCTTTTTCCCCTCATGGGCACCTTTATTCTGCATGAAGGGAATGGAAAAACATCTTCCTCGTACACTGAGTATTTCCCTCACATGCATCTTTATTCTCCTAAGAGGAGTGGAGAATCTCTCTCCCCTGCCAAGTTTTCCCCTCACGGGCACCTTTATTCCCCAAGAAGGAAGAGCATCTCCCTCCTGTGCCGAGTTTTTCCCCTCACAGGTACATTTCTTCCCCTAAGGGCAGTGAAAAAGCATCTCCTCGCCCTTTTCCCCTCACAGCTATCTTTATTCCGCATGAGGGGAATGAATGGAAGAGCATCTCCTTCCCTCGCTGACTTTTTCCTTCACAGGCACCTTTATTCCCCAAGAGACGAATGGAAGAGCATTTCCCTCCCTCCCGCACTTTTCCCCTCGCAGGCACCTTTATTCTCCTGAGGGAGATGGAGAATATCCCTCCCGCGACGAGTTTTTCCCTCGCGGGCACCTTTATTCCCCAAGAGGGGAATGGAAGAGCATCGTCCCTGCGGGGCACGTTTGTTCCCCGGGAGGTGGGCGGAGGAGCCTGCCGGTCCCTCTCCGCGGAGGCTCTGAGGGTTGGGGACACTCTGAGGGTTGGGGACACTCTGAGGGTTTGGTCTCTCGTGGCTCTGAGGGCTCGGGGCTCTGCCCGCAGCCGCATCGCTCGCTCGCGCGCGCGCGCGTCCTGCAGCGGTTCCCCGCCGGCCCGCCCCTCTCTAATCGCGCCGCCATCCCGCGCGGCGGCGGCGGAGGGATACGCGGCTGCGGGCGGAGGGATCCACACGCTGGAGCCGCCCCGGGCAGGGAGAGCGGGCGGGAGGGAGGGGAGGAGGGAGGGGAGCGGGGCGAGGAGGGGGCGAGCGATGCGGCGCGGCCGCGCGGGCTGAGGCGAGGCAGCCCCGCTGCGGGCACGACGGCGGTGGGCGGCGGAGCCGGTGCCGCGGGAGCGGCGGGAGAACAGCCGGGGAGGGGTCCGGGGGGCTCCGGCCGCGGCGAGGGGAGAGCGGAGCCTGAGGGGAGGCGGCCGGCGCGGGGGAAGGGCGAGGCTGCGGGGCGGGCGGCGCGTGCCGGTCCTGCCGCGCTCCGGAGGCGCAGCTTAGTGGGAAAGGGAAGGGGGTAGAAAAGGGAAGCGGTTTAAAACAGCCCCCGGTCGCTCCGGGGGTGGCTCCCGGTCCGTGCCGTGGCGGGGGGGGCTCTGGTGCAGCCCGCAGCCCGGGGGGCTTGGCCGTGAGAGGGGCGGGGGCTCTGCCTCGCTGCTCCCCTCGCCCGCCCGCCCGCCCTCGGGGCTTTTTTGTGTGGGGAACGGGCAGGATGAGCTTGCGGAGTTTTGCTGGAATTTCTCCTTCCTTTCTGAGGCGCTGCCGCTGCTGAAGCAGATTTTCCCCTTCCTCTCTTTTTTTTTTTTGTCTGATGCAGAATCCCAGTAGCTAGGCAGCCTCCCTCTTTTCTTTCCTCCCTTCCTTCCTTCCACCCCTCCGCTATGTAGGGAGGGACGGGCATCAATGGAAAGGCTGAAATACGCGTAGATGGACTTGCAGATGCATTTTTTCGTGAAAGAGGAGGATAAATCCCGCTTGCCCCCGCACTGACTTTTTTATTGCTGTTGCATCGCCTGGAAAAATGGGTTTCGCTCGCTCCTGCTGAATCCTCGGAGCATTCCAGAGAGTTGCTGCAGCGAAGGACTTCTCTAATTTTTTTTGCGTCGGAGGAGCTGCGTTGATGTTAACCGCTTTTCTGTAAAATGGAGAACGAGATCTTCACACCCCTTCTGGAGCAGTTCATGTCGAGCCCTCTTGTCACCTGGGTAAGCGTTCATTTTGCCTCCCCCCCCCCCCCGTTACTCGTTTTATTTGCTCATTGTTCGATGAGAAGTGCCTTGCGGCAAGAGAGCGAGGTGGAGTTAATGTCAGGGTGGTGGTGATGATGAGCGTTATGTTTTAGGTTAAGACGTTCGGACCGTTAGCCGGAGGAAATGGGACCAACCTGGAGGAATATGTGGCGCTGGTGGATGGAGTGTATCTGAACGAAGTCATGCTGCAAATGTGAGTGTGGGGCAGGCGCTGCCTCGGGGTTTTTTTTTTTTTTTTTTTTTTTTTTTCCCCGTTCGATTTCTCCTGTATTTTTGCTTCCTTGTGAAAAATCCTTTCCCTCCCTCCCCGTGTTGACCTTGGGGAAATTTTTCTTTTGTACGTGACACGGTCATGTGGTGAGTGAAGAGGAGGCTTGGGAGCCTGGCAGATCCTGTGCAGTGTCCGAGGGATGTATTTGCAGGATGTATAGTGTGATACAGGCTGAATCACGGCTGGAGAATTTACTGGAAAACGGGATGACTGTAAATACTTTCCCAGATTTCCACTGAGAGGAGTAAGGATTCATTCTGCTGTTAAGTCCTGCTCATAACCAAAAATCTGAATAAATTTGCTTGGCTGATAAGATTCTAATCCATATCTTGGCTCACGTGACCTACAACTTGAGGCTGGCATGCGAGTCACACAGTGCTCACTGAGCAAATGGACTGGCCTTTAACTCCTTCCTCTTTATTTTCCACGCTTCCAAATTGGAGTGGATAGCAGCTGAGCTGATAGTTTGAGAGTATAGAGTATATTCTGGCTGCAAACCACAGAAGAACCGTTTTTATGTGGGTTTGTAAACCGTTCATTGGAGAACTCTGATTGTTAGAAGGATTTCTTGACAGTGGTTTTTTGTTAATCATCATTTTGACTGGAATGTTGCCCACTGCTGTAATGCTGGAGAGTAACACTTCTGTCAGGTGTCTGGTGATAGACTCATGAAAGTGTTACTAGTGCAAAAATTTCTACTTTTTTTTTTTTTTTTTATATTTTAAGTCTTTACAGAGAAATAAGCCTTTTGTTTGGACAGGTAGGAAAAACTAGGCTTGTGGCTGGAAACTGGGTACACCAGTGCATGAGCAGCTTGTGTTGGCAGCTGTTCCTCAGGAACACTGCTCAGGGATGGGCATCCTCTTGCTCTGTAGTTTTTACTCATATTTAGGACTTTAAAAGTTCATGCAGTTGGTGTTCAGTTGGTATTTGCATCTTTTTGCAACCATAGTTTTCTTTGTCACCTACCTCTGCTCAACCAAAATTCCACGTATTCACTTAAAATATTCCCTCTAATGCTGAGAAACATGGAAAGCTTGGTGGAATTGAACTTTTTGGAAAAAAAAACCCAAACAAACCTGAGTCCATTCTGGCGCATTATTTTTATTTTACAATTTATTTTTTTCCTTGGGCTACATGTAAATTAAATGCCTTATCAGCTACATCCGTGCATTTAACATGTAGAGCTTCTACTTGGTGAAAAAGTTTGACTCAGGGAAGGCAAATTTAGCACTGGGACAAGGTGATTCTGAAGAATATAGTCCTGGAGTTAAACTTTATCAGTAATTTTTTTAACAGTGAGTATAAATTGATACCCAGCACACGCTTGTAAAGTGGAAAGCTGTTGGGAAGGAACATTCACCGTGTGTTGAGTTTGGCTTTGACTTTGTGCATGCCATGATTGCTGGAGTTTACTCAGGGGGTACTGGGTGTGTAGGTATAAAAAAACCACACACTGGAGGTGTAAACTGAAAAGAGTTTGGTAAGTCAGAACAGTTAAAAACTACCTGAAACTAGAGGTGAATGTAAAAGGATCGGCGTACAAACAAAATTAATTTTAGAAATATGTACCCACACTGGAAGGTGTGTTTTACTTTAAATACATTATTTGGGAGGTGAGGTTGGTTACTGCTCAGAATTGCCTTTCATGACTGTGTTCATATTTTGGGAAGGTTCAGTTTGTTTTGGGTTTTGTGCCAGGACTGAAAGAGGGGAAAAACTGTTTCATGTTTTGCAGACTGATTCTGTCAGCGGTGAAGTCACTGTGGAAAGCTGTGTTCACCTCCAGTCCTGTTCACCTTCAGTATCCACTTATTAAGCACACATCTTCCTTTGCAAAGAGGCAGCCCCAACTAATCACCAGTAGAACTTATTTCCAGTGTTTGCCATTTTTATTTCTTTTATTTTTCTTTCATTCTTAGCTACCATGTGTTGAGGAAATGTGGCAGAAAAGTTTGTGTCACGTGACTTCAAAAGAGAGGTGTTTTTCGTCAGAATGTTGGGATTGGAGGTTTTGTTGTTGTTTGGTTGGTTTGGTTTGGGGTTTTTTTTTTTAAAGCTCTCAGTGACTTCCCATGAGAACAAGCTCTGTGGTGAGGAGCTCTGGCAGTGGAGGCTGTTAGAGGTGCTGTCCTCCTCCTTTAATACTTAACTGTGTTCTTACCAAATGTTGGAAAACCAAATTCTGTGACCCTGAAAGTGAGCGTTAAATATTGGATTAGGCATGATTTGCAAACAGTGATACAGTCAAAAAAAAAAAAAAGTGACTTTGTTAGTTAGGGAAGGTTTTTAATTCGGTCAGAAAAGAGTTAATCCTGCCCTCCATCAGCTACCAGTGAGAGTTTGTCAGGACAGGATTTGTTTCTCCTTGTGCTTGTCTGGATCAACTTTATTTCCCACAATTGTAATGATTCAGAGGAAATAGGTGTGAGCACTGGAATAGTTGCAGGATGCTGATGGGACTGAGACTGTAGGGTCTGTCAGCACTGAGTTTATTAGTACCTCATGCACGAGAGGGGAAAATTCATTGCACTCCTTGTCTGTCTTTTGACTTTGGCTTTTTGGACACTTCTGAACATGTGAAAATTGCACAGATTCCATTCGGTGTCCAGTTACATCTGAAGAGCTCTTCCTTTGTTGGAGATGCTACAGGCTCTTTTAATTATTGCTTTTTTTTTATTTTGTTTTTAATTAAGGAGAGTCCCAGCGTTACAATATTAGCTCCCCACTTGAGAGAATGCCTCTAATTTCCTGTTTAAATTTAGGCCCAGTTCTTCAAAAGTGTTGGGTTACCTACCTTCTGCTGGGATCAGTCAGTATCTGATACTTGGGCATAGAAACCCATCTGTCTGTCTAAATCTGAGCCTTTATCTTTGTGTTCTTTGATACAAAAAGGGGGTCACGCTGCCTGCAAATCAATCAGAGCCCAGAGATCACTGCAGGGCTGCTCTGCCAGGGCAGGGAGGGGGGGGACACGCCAGGAACCCTTCGTACCTTCCCTGCACCTCTATATCATGATCCTTCTGACATGGGAAAGTTAAAATCTGTTGTGTGTAGTGCTGACATCAGTGAACCACTGTCATTCAGTGGATTAGTCACCTGTTGCACATCTCTGCACAATTGCAGTAAAATAATACTTGCTTGTCCCAGAGGTACTTTTCCAGCACCTGACTGGCATCACCTCAGGGGCTTTTTGTAGTCTGAGCATTGTGCTGTTTGTGTTCCTCTGATCCAAAAACATCAAGGCAACTTTACAGAAACACTCATTTTCTGAGTGCTGTTTAATTCACATTTTTGATAGGTTCCTGTTCTCTGATATTTAACTGAATTCCAACAGGATTGTGTAAGAAATGCTGGGAGTCTTGTAGTATGAGCTGTGGTTCCCAGACTGACAAGGGTCTTGCTAGTTCCTTTGAATAAAAACAGACAGCTGCAAGTAGTTACAAGATTGGGGCTTTCATTACATTTACCACCACCATTAATATTTGGTCAAGCAACAAAGACTCAAAACTGTATTTTACTTTTTTTGTTTTATTTTACTATGCTTTGCAGTTGTGGAAAGAAATCTGGTTTAAAGGAGCTCTTGGACACAGACTGTGTGCAGGGTTGGTAACGTGCAGACCCAAACTCTGAATTAATTTAATCCACTGTCTGGAAAACCTGGCTGCTTGCACCCCAGTGTGCCATTTATAACTTTGCTCTTAATTTAATCTATTAACCAGGACTTTCCATATCAGTTGCTGCATCCAGACATGCTGAAAGCCGCTTCAAAGGGCGAAATATTTTATCCTCCTCCTGTTTTTTTTCCCCTTTTGCTATTCTCCCACTGCTTTTCCCTGGCTGGATTCACTTGCAGGCCTTTCCCACCCCTCAGATTTTCCAGGTGGACGGGCTGAGTGTTTCCTTGCCCGGCTCTGGCGGTGTGTGCCCAGAATGTGGACTGCTGCCCTGGCTGCTCTTCTGAGCTCTCAGTCTTCACTTGTGAGCTTTTTTCCAAGCACTGGAGCCTGCCAGCCCATACTTCTGGCTTGCCTATATCTTTCCCTGAAAGCTGGACTCGGTCTCCGGTGCAGCAGCCAGCTGCCTGCTCTGGGAAAGGGAGCAGGAACAGCCACTCGGCTCCAATTAACTCCTTCTTGGGAACACCAAGCAGCAAGAGGCAGGTTCTGGCTGGGTGGGGAAATAGGGAAAAGAGGGAAATGAAATCGGTGACTTTGGCTGTAGGAGCATCTATTTTAGGACAAAGGTCAGATATTATGAAGTCTGCACCTTTCTCACTTTGTTTTGTAGCAAGTGCATTTGATTCCCACTTCTCAGACGTGCTCTGTCGGGTTTCCACAGGTGCAAGGTACATCTCCCTCTCAAAATTTGGAGCTGTTGCTCTCTTCTGCAGCAGCAGCAGGGCCTAGATTTTTCTTCAGGAAAGATGGATTTCTAACAGTAGTTTTTCTTCTGTAAATGGTCCAGCACAATGTGCAGCATGGTCAGGACTCTTAGGATTAAAACCTTTTGATTACAGAAAAGGAAAACATCATCATCATCATCATGGAACATCTGCCTGCAGTGAGCTCTGAACTGGGCAGGTGAGGGGCATGTGGGCTGGTATCTGCTCTGCTGAGGGGCTTGGTAGGAAAAGGGAAGAAAGTGTGGGTTGAACATGGAATGTTTGAAGTGTCTGATCTTGGCTTATGTTTCACTAGGGTTTTTAATGCACGTGTACCCTTTTCCACAGTTGATGTCCCCTTTCCTTCCTCCTGGCTGCTCTGACTTATTGCTGAGCAGCAAACTCTTCTGTGCTTCGCTCTTGTTCCTTGCAGAATTTTGAAGATTAGGAATTAAATCATCTAATCTTCCTCTACATGTATGCATCCACTTCTCTCTTCTTCATGTGCTGTCTTGATTATCTGTCTTTGTCTCCTTAT